CCCCTGGTGGAGCTAGCGCGTCGCGGAAAAAACGAGCGTGTGCGCCGTTACGAGACGCAGAGATTGGTACCCGATTTTAAGGTCCTAGGTCAACCGGTGACCTCTGAGGTCAGGTCAAGTGCCCCAGGGTACGGTTCAGTTTTTGGCGAATAACTTCGCAAAAAACGGCCGCAGAGCCGCGATTTTGGCAGCATCGTGTTCGCCTCGCTCAGGCGCGTCGAATGATATACTTTTTGTTCGGGTCAGGTCTACTTGGGGTGTTGACCTCAGGTCAAGGTCAGGTCAGCACCCCCAGGTCACGAAGTTGGTCGAAAGAGGTCATGTCGCATATCATTCGATTCGGCAGGTCTTCCTGAGTCCATTGGTGGCTTTCTCGACTCGCTAGCTCAATTTGATCGGGAGTTATTGACGAAAAACTAATATGACCTTGATGACGTCATAAATGACGTCACGGAAGGTCAACATTGCAAAAGTGACGCATCTGACCTTGCAAGGAGTGCATCAAATCACGATTCTGTGTGCTTGAGATAGTTGGAGATCGTTCCCGGCGCCAGAATAGCAGTTTTCATTTTTCCCCATTGACTTATAATGGTGAGGTCACGAAAATGACCTGACCTCATATGACCTTTAGGAAAAATCCGAGATATACAAGTTGTGAGACTCATAATGGATACTAGATCCTGCAAGTTTCATTTCCCTGTGACATCTCCTCTGGCAGTGAGGGCGTTGCGAAGTTGCGACATCTGAAGACCGTGCAGAGGTTCACTTATGACGTCATAGGTCAGTGACCTGACCTGACCCAAAAATGCGGTTGGTGTCAAAAGATGCGGCTTGGATCAAAGGTCAGGTATGCCAAGTTTCAGCTCTCTATCGCCAGCGTGTTCGGAGCTATCGCGAAAAAACCCTATGGGGGGCGGCACCCGCCCCCCCCCCCCTCGGCCGGCGAGGGTTAAAATGTAATAAGCAGCATTTGTACATTTCATTTACTTGAAATGTTTCACTTAACCCTCGCTCGCACATGGGGGGGGGGGGGGTGTTTGCCACCCCCACCCCCAGGTAGTTTTTCTGCTCTGCACTAAACATTTTTAAAGCTAGAAGCCTGATTATTCGTATAGCTGCTTCTCTATCCTTTCTCAGCGTCCAATGAAAATTTCAAGTTTCTGTGGTTTCTGGTTTTGGAGATATGACTTTGTCCTTCAGGTCATGTCATGGCTCAAATGACCAATACCCAATATCTTGCGTTAGCTATGGGTCTTTTTTTATTCAGTCCTCCCTCTAAGGGGCACTTATTTCCCATTTACAGGAGGGCTCCTCCTCCTCCTGGCCCTTGTTCCCCCCCCCCAGGCTACGGCTGAAGTGGGATCCCACCCCACACCTGGTGACACAGCCGGGGACGACGCCCGCGGAACGGGCGGGGTAAATTTTACCCCCCTCGCGAATTTTTGCAATATCTCAAAAACGGCGGCGCGTAGCGCCGCCAAACTTTCAGTACCTTTTCTTACATCAATTTGACACGTTCCCTGAAAATTTGAGCGAAATCCGTCGGAAAATTTTTGAGAAATTGTAAAAGGGATATCTTTGATATGAGAGCCGTGAACTCCAGCCAGTGCTGCCAAATCCTATTTACGGCATTGGTAAGATTGGGCCCTTGATCACTGTGCAAATGAGTATAACAATCGCTGTAACCGTCTAAAAATTATTTGAAATTAATCAGCCGCGTGTTTTCTTCTTCTGCTGGTCTACCACCGATTTTGCTGCCATTGACGACCATGTGATAAATCCGCTCCTACTGTTAAACGTATCACGTGTGATGATGTGGGCTGCTTTCAGGACCTTCCTTGTACCTTTCTTTATATATATTTTTTTTAATATCTTCGTACCGTCCCAGTCAGGTAAGTGGGTACACTTTTCTATATGCAGTAGGTACTATTGCATTTGATGTTCGGTGAAATTTTACATCGCTTCTGTGTTCTATATTTAACCTTCGCCCCAGTGGGGGGGGGGGCATATGTTACCACCCTGTCGCGTTTTTTGCGTGTGAATAAAAAACCGCGGCGCGTAGCGCCGCGCCGCTTGGGGTAGCTTTTGGTACATCAATTTTGGACAATGTGTGAAATTTTTGACCCCAGGTCATGTCAGGTCAGGTCACCAGGTCAAGTTAACTGACCAAGCCTAAAAAAAAGTTTGCAATCATGTCCAGCCTGCAGTGTTTGTCAGAAAGGTTTCAAACTTGGTGGATTGCATGCTGTTATGGGCGCCTACAATTTGTATATCTCGGATTTTTTATATCCGTGACCTAAGGTCAGGTCAGTGGCGAAACCTTTCCATTACAAGTCAACGGAGAAAAATTAAAATGCCTCTAAATCCGTGTGTACGCATCGGAACAGTCCAAATATTTCAGAATCACAATGATTTAGTCCACTCGTGATGACCAAGGTGTCATTTTTGCTGATAGCCTCTAGACAGGTCATCCGAGGTCACTTGAGGCTACAAACAGTTTTTTGCCAATAACTCGCGATTGGAAAGAGATAGAACGCTGGGGATGGTCTCATTGTGTTTGCCTTGTTGAGACGCATCGACTGACATGCAACATGACCTTTTCCGGTAAGGCCATGACCTTGACCTGAGGTCAAATTTTCAACTTGACCTTTCAAGGTCAAATTATAGTTCATTCGACGCGTCTCGGCAAGACGAACACGATTCTGGCAATAGAAATGTCGTGGCTTTTTGTAGTCGAAAGTTATTGTCGAAAAACATTTTTCGTAAAAACAGCTATTTTTGGACTTTTTGCCCTCTGGAGGCCAAACTGTTGACCTGAGGTCAATATTGATAATGAACTTTTCAAAAGAAGAGTTCAAAAGCTATCGATTGCTCTTCCCTGCGTTATTCTAGCTACCATAGTTCCTGAGATAGCGGCATGTTTTCTGAAAAATATAATGACAATTGGCAAATTTTGACCTTTGATGACCTCTGGTGACCCCCATATTGCTCTAAGGTGAAAAATGACTGAAATACTTTCAAACGTACGCATTGAGAGCTATCGACTGCTTTTTACCGCGTCTTTCTAGCCCTCTTAGTTTTTGAGTTAGAGGTGGGTGGTAACATATGCCCCCCCTCACTAGGGCGAAGTTGGCTGAGACCGCCACTGGGGCGCGGGTTAATGGAATAACCTTCTGTTCAAAATTCTAGAAATTGCCAAAAGTTACCAAAAACACTTGAATATATTTCGGAGGCGTTCCTTCATCGGTTCAAGTCCTTCAAACGAACTTCCACCCCTCTTTCCGTCTCCCCAACGTACGTTCTTTGGCACCCTTTGCATGGTATTTCGTAAACTACACTTTTTTCATCACTGGTATCTTTTTTGGTTTCATGGTGCTTGACTAAATCTTGAGTTTTCTTTCCTGTTACTGTAGCTACTTTGATATCTGACTTCAAGTGTTCTTACTATGATATCAATATTTTTCGAATTTGGGTGATAGCCGTTTTCCCTGAATAATGTCGTAATAGTGTTGAGGCTGCGCTCCATTGTTTGTAGATCCGATGACACCCGCATGGCTCGCTGGACTTCTGAGTTTAGCACTGCTCTTCAATTCAATATTCACAATTCAATTCAATTCAATATCCACAATTCTGGATACAGGTAAATATTACGCAGAAGTAAAGATCATAGAATCAATCCACATAAGAAACCTTCGGCCCAGCCTGAACACAATGCAAAGCTCTTGGCCTTTAACACACTAGGTTATAACATGCAAGCAACCAACACAAACACACAGCCCCCCCCCACACACACACACTTGTGTAGTCCAGTTCTAGATGACCACTGGTATACGATGTAGTATACTATGAAAACTGTAAGGATACTTGTGTAGCCTATACGACCTCAGTCCACATATCTGTATGGACAAATATTGGTATATGTGTGTGTGGTGTGTGATGTACCTATAGTGGAATGTGACGGCGAGCGTGCTGCGGTCTGCTCTTGTTTAAATATTGTATCTATTTGTACCTATATTTGTATTAGATTTTGTTAAGTGTACGCCTCAATTGCGCAATGCGCGTTGCTACATGACCTCCAAAAGCCATCTGGGCCAATGTGCACGTGTGAATATTTGGTTCCGTTTCAATTTTTCAAATGTGATTGCCTCGGCTAGACCAGAACCCGATGATGTCGTAAGACGAAAGCTCGTTCTATATTTTCGGCCTATTTTGTTATGTAAAAATACATCTCACTGCCATGTTATTGGTCAATTTCATCACCATATTTAATTATTTCATCATGGCAAAACCGACCATTCAATACATCAAGTACTTCTTAAATGTTCAAATGGATGCTTAATTCGCAATGAGCTCGGAAAACTATACTAAAACTTGTAAAACTCGAAAAATGAGCAAGGTTATCAAAAGATCAATGACCTTGATCTGACCTTCACGTGACCTTGACACCATCATAATGCAAGGGACCAACATCATTTCACATGTATGAACGATCACAACCACAAGAAGACTGGAAACGCGTGAATAATGTCAGCCGATATACGGCGAATCGCGATTCCGGCCAAACATGGTCTCGAGCAATAGGCCACAGGTCAAGATCACTTGGGTCAGGGTCATGATATTTGCAGAGTACAGTAGGTACAGTAGGTGTAAATGTAAAAATTATCAACTTCAGGCTACTGAAAGTTTCGTCGCGATCGGGCGCTTTTTACGGGAGTTATTTGCGAAGAACCGAGGGATACCAATCCGACCCCCCCCCCCCCCGCCCCTGACAAGTGCGAGGCTAGGGACTTATCAATTTTCTATAACGAGTGTCTTTGATTTAACTGCCCGCCCCCTCCTCCCAGTAACACGATTTTAGCCCAGAGGTCTAGGGAGGCAGGACAGACCCCATAGTGAGGAAGCGGCATCACTACGGGGGCTGCCCCTTCCCCCCTCCCCAGCTAACATGTTAGATGAAGCAGAGCTTTGGTCCGACCGCCGCGCCCCTTCTGTGACCGCAGCTCTGACGGCCTCCGGCTCTGGACTGCCTCCGGCCGCGGCATCCGGACTGCCTGCCGCCGCCGCTCGGATGAAGGTGGCCGTCAAACCTACCGGGGTAAGTAGTCTACTGGTCCGCACTGCACCGGCTCCAACGGGGCACGCACGTCGGCTGCTATCAGTCGGTTGTCATCTACTACGCATTTCAGACCCTCTTGAACAGTCCTTTTTGGCTCTTTCTCGTTACATATACGCTTGATTTCAACCAAACTTCGACACAATGAGTTTCAAGGGCCTACCTAATCTTTACTTATATGGTGTAATTAATAAGTACTAATTTTTACTTATACCTTCGCTCCAGTGCACTATGGTTGGAAACGGCCTCACGGATGGCCATGGGCAATTTCGGAATATATGTATATTTGGGGTGTTATTCTGTTGGAAATTGATGAAATGTTTTGAATTGGGCAGAAAAAAAAAACATTTAGTTGCGCATTTAGTCTTCATTATCGTACGTGGAATCGGGAGTTTCCGATAGTGGCTTTTTTAGTGCGCCGTCAAAGGTTTAAACAACCGCGCTGATGTAGCGTACCCCAATGACGTTGTAAGACGGGATTTCTAAATATCAAAATAATCCTTGTTATGTTGGCTATCGAGTGGAGTGACTTTTTTCCTATGCGTGTTCAAAATCAGGAACGGCATTGCATTCTGTTTGCAGTGCCACCACAGCAACATTTGCAAAATTACGTTTATGTTTCGTTGGACATACAAAAAGTTCTCCATCGACCTCCATTGAGCTTTTTGGCAGAATAAATCTCTGTTCAATTGTGCGTAAGGGGAACCTAAAAGCAAACTGCGCACTTGTGCGCAAAATCGTCGGTGAAGCTTCATCTCCCGAGGCGTACCTACCCGTCGCTTCGTTAGCAGCAGGTCGGCTCGTCAGTCGTGCAATCGCTTACTCCTGACTCCTGACTCGTTGCCATGACTTCGGGCGACTCTGTCTCCGACTCCGGACCCCTGCGCCAGTGTTTCGGAGTCGTGATGGAGCTGTTCCGATTCGGACCGACTCCGACTTCCACTGCGGGCTCCTGACCGACCCCGACTCCGACTCCGACTCCTGGCTCGTTGCCACGACTATGGGCGACTCTGACTCCGACTCCGACTCTGACTCCGACTCTGACTTCGACTCCGCACCCCTCGTAAGAAGTAACTGCTCGCCGCTGCACCTGGAGTATGGATATCGTGTAAACGTGTATGGATATCCTGGAGTATGGATATAGATATCCTCTGACAGAACAGACATACAGACATGCTGTAAACGCCATTACACTGCCAATAGGTACCATGGCAAATCAAATGGCTATCTATGATTTTTGATCATCGTTCTATATTTTCCAAAATCTTGAACTGAATGTTGGCAATTTCTCGTAACTACTTCACGACCATGATGCATGCATTTCTGAAATTGATCTTTTTTTTTCAACCAACCACGTACTCGTATGATAAAATAAATGTCACCATCATTATATATGTTGTTGTTGAGCTGGGACGGATTCATTTGGTAAAAGATTGTTCAAACACCAGCTTTAACTTTTTATTGGGAGCTTTCGGAAGCGTTACAGCTTCCTTCGTCAGCCTTGGATAGAATTCTTAAAAAGACTTCTATCCAAGACTTCTATCCGAAAGCTCCCAATAAAAACTTAAAGCTGGTGTTTGAACAATCTTTTACCAAATGAATGTCACCATCGTGTTCTACGCCCAAAAGTACCCATAAAACATGTGTCATGGGCTGCGAATAGGTACCAGTTTTAATTTTCGGGGTTATATGCTTACCTGATTGACCTGACTTTGACCCTGGCCTAAGTTTGACTGACCCCTACATGGATCTGACACTTTTTTAGCACTTATATGAAGGGTTGTGACAGTTGTGACAGAGTTTGTGACGAGAGGCACCGATTGTGAGGTTCATAAGTCCATGCTACTGAAAGCCCGATTTCAAGTGTTTGACCTGACCTTGACCCGACCTGTGACCTCGAAATTCAACTTTTAAGCATTCATGTGAATCGTCTCCTCGCGTTCTTCTTTCGTTTGCCGCCTCGTGCGTTTCGCTGCGCCTATTGTTCGCGAGTTATCGGCTGGGGGCGTTGAACGCCCCCACCCCCCGGCAAACGGCGGGTGGGGAAATACCCCAGCAACTGCCGGGTTAATCTGACGCTTTTTTTGTCATTTGATCGTCATTTTATTTTTACTTTTTTGCCCAATCTAAAAAAAATCATTAATACATTTTCTCCAATTTTTTTTTAACCTTTATGACCAATAGTAAGACACTGTGCGTCACTACGTTGATATTTCTCGCCCTAAAGCATAACAACAATATCCATTCAGTAATAGCAGTATTAAAAACATGTTCAAAATGCCTCGCGATATCGATAACATTACGAAAGACATAGGCGACTCATAACATACTTGCAATGATGACGTCACACACGCGTGACGTGACGTGACCTCGTCATTTCTGAGTTACTGTATGATGCATGAAAGACACTGGTATACCTATGCAAAGTTTCATCGCAGTCTGTCTACGCATTAACAAGTTATGGGCAAAACATTTTTTCGCGTTGACCCCCGGCTATCCGTGAGGCCGTTTCCAACCATAGTGCAGTGGGGGGGGGGGGGCATAATATGTTACCACCCTGTCGCGTTTTTTTGCGTGTGAATAAAAAACCACGGCGCGCGCCGCTTGGGGTAGCTTTCTGTACATCAATTTTGGACAATGTGTGCAATTTTTGACCCCAGGTCATGTCAGGTCAGGTCGCCAGTTCAAGTTAACTGACCAAGCCTAAAAAGTTTGCAATCATGTCCAGCCTGCAGTGTTTGTCAGAGAGGTTTTAAACTTGGTGGATTGCATGATGTTATGGGCGCCTATAATTTGTATGTCTCGGATTTTTTATATCCGTGACCTAAGGTCAGGCCAGTGGCGTGACCTTACCATTATAAGTCAATGGAGAAAAATGAAAATGCCTCTAGATCCGTCTGTACGCATAGGAACAGTCTAAATATTTCATAATCACAATGATTTGGACCACCCGTGACGACCAAGGTGTTTTTTTTTTTGCTGATAGCCTCTAGAAAGGTCATCCGAGGTCATTTGAGGCTACAAACAAATTTTTGCCAATAACTCTCGATTAGAAAGAGATAGAACGCTGGGGATGGCCTCATTGTGTTTGTCTTGTTGAGACGCATCGACTGATTGCAATCAGACATGTGCTTGGATCCGGAAAAATGGATCTGAGATCCGATCCCATGGATCCCGATCCGAGATCCATTCAGATCATAGATCCAACCCCTCAATTTTGTCGAGAGATCTACTGGGATCATAGATCTGACCCTTCAATTTCGTCGCTAGATCCACTCGGATCATAGATCTGGCTCCCCAATTTTGTCGTGAGATCCATTGGGATCATAGCTCATAGGTGCTCAAAATGTTAACAACTTTCTTTCATAAGAAGTTATGAATACCAAAGTATGGTTAGAAACAAACAATCTTATACAAAGACCATATTAGTAAAGGCATCCAGTTACATTATACAGAATACAAAATAAAGGAGGCTCATGACGGTCACAACTTGAGAGAATTGAGTGACATGAAGATTGTTCACAGTTCACATACCAACAGAAAAGTTTGCATTAACAATTAACATAGAGGTAAGTCAAAGTAATGACTAATGAACAATACATAACTAGGTACCTACCACATCACAATTCAAGTTAGAATCTACATAATGATATTGATAAGACAATCTCATTGATCTTGCATTAGACAACTATGAGGCTTTCCAGTTTCCAGCTACCACAATTGATTGATAAACAATAAAAGATGATACTGACACATGTGGCTTGGTTAGGTAAAGGTATTTCAATCTATTGAAAGAAATATTTGATAAAAGAAACTGAGATATAAACAAAAGTATAAAAATATTCAACAGCCTGCGGAAGCGATGGGAAGCGAAATATCAATTGTAATGGCCTTGGATATTTACCGTAAAATGATTATTCAGTATCTAAATTGAACTCGTGACGTCATTTCAAATAACAAATGAGCTAGGCGTTCTACCTTCGAGTATAATGAAAATAGATAAAAAATCAAACTGGAAATTCAAAAGTCTGGAGCTTTTTTTTAAAGAATGTTCATTTTTTCTGCCTCACATAATTTACGATACGATTGTTTGTGAATATCATCTTTGTAGCGTTAAATTTAATGACGTAAACGTAAGCTGAAACATGGCCCTGAGCGGTGTGCGCCTTGCATCTTTATTTTATTCACTTTTCAAAAGAATAACAATATCTTACGTCATTAGTTTAAAGGGCCTATTACGGGGAATCTTTTGGAATCATTACGGTCTTGGTCAAATTAAGATTTTTCATTGGTGAAGCGATAATGACGTAATAAAACCATATTACCAAAACGTGAGCTGTGAATTTCGTTTGTCTTTTTTTGGGAGGCTCTCTCATAACAAAAGCACAGCATGGCACCACACGTGGCACGATGCCAAAAGTGGCCAAAAGTAGGTAATCTGAAGAAGTTGATGCCATTTTTGAACTTGTAATTTTATTACGAAAGTATTAGAGGTTGGTTGCTATTCTTACTAAATCGAAATTGTGTTGCACGTACTGCTCATATGAACATTCTGGATTGGGATTTCATACCTGGCAGAAGTGGATTGCTGGATTATTTTTAACAAAACTGACCTATTTGGCTTCCAGGTTTGATTTCCTAACATCTGTCCATAGGCGGCAGAACAGGGGGGGGGGGGTGGCACCAGGGTACAGTGCCCCCATAGATTTTGGCATTTTAGCATTAGCCCTACTGGCGTTGCAGAAAGAATGGGACCAAAATGAAAATCTGCAGTGCCCTGCTGCCACTGCATCTGTCTGTACTGTTTGTTCATTGAATTAAACTGGCTGTAGCTTGTTGATAAGATTGTCATCAGTGCTGTCAAGAAAAAGTTACAATTGGTCACAAAAAGTAACAATATGCATGTTCTTGGTTTATTTTAAATGTAGTACAAATGTTGTTTATTTAAATTCAAATTTAATGATGATACCTAATGATTACAA